TTGTTACTACTAGTAAGGCACCTGTTACTACTAGCGTGGCACTTGTTACTAGTAGTAACAAGAAGCTACATGAATTGCTGCATGAGGGACCTCGCTTCGAGACGCCGGACACGCTGCGACGGGAGACCAGACCACGCTGCGACGGACACGCGACGCTGAGTCCAAGCGCAACCGCAACTTTGACCTCACGCAGTGCGTCATGGCAGACGTCACCAACGCGGTTGGTGGACCCAGCTCTGAGCTGAACGTTTTGTTTTTTGGGGTCGGTCCAAGACAGGACCGGTGAATGTGACTGTGATGCGTGTGGTCAAACGCATTGAAGATGTCATAGATGTTGCATTGAGTCATTACAATGATGAGGAAGATCAAATTTGGATCAAGTTGGAAGGTGAGTGCTGACAAGCTTGACAGTTGTCCTCAACACCTTGCGGAGGGATCCTCCCAATCTTGGGTTGTGGGAGAAGAGGGTGATTCTCCTTTTTCTGAACCTCTTGCTGTCATAGCGAAGACCCCCAAACTGCGGGCCGTTGGACTCAAAGCAAACAAGCACTCTCCTCACAAGCATGACACCTTCCAAAACCATCCGACCATGTCAACCATCCGAATCAGGACTGAATTGAACCTGCCAAGTACCAACCCCCTATCGCACCCTAAAACCCATCACCCTCCCCCCCGAGATCCCGGCCGATCCGATCCCGGCCGATCGGATCCCGGCTGATGTCGTCTGCCAGGCCGCCTATATCGTCCGGGTGATTTTGCAGATCCGCTCGGCGGCCAGCGCCTGCCCCGAGCCGAGGCGCGGAGAGAACGGACGTGAAAAAGCCAATGGCATGGTGACTGGTTCCGCTAGATCAAACGAGGCCAGTACTCATAATCATTGCTATACTTACAGTCTACAGATGTCTAATATAAGAATTGTATTGGTTGCAATTGACTGTTATTTGAGATTGTGTGACATTTCCGTTCGCTTTTCGTCATCGGTCCAACACTTGAAACGCCTATGCTTTGGTTAATGACCCTAAGGATCATTGAACCCTCCTATGGAGCTGCAGAACGCAGGGGTTTGGACCCTCAAAACCTTCACCTTTGAGGGTCCTTGATTCTTAGGGGAGTGAAATTCACATCATTGCAGAATTTCGAAGAGGGAAAAACCACCGCGAACGCACAACAAGATTTGGTCAGGGCCTGCGCCATCAACATCTTGAACATTATCAGCTCCTTCGCATGGATCTCCCAGTTCACGTGGCTTGGTGCATGAAGATGTGAAAGGTCAAGGCCAACTGTGCTTAACCGTCTTGCTTGGTGCTGTGACATTAATTTTACCGAGGAGCTTGATTGAGATCACGTTGCAAATCTAGAACATTCTAGAACGTACATTCTCATGTTTTTGAATCTGATTTGAGCATCCCATCCATGCAGAATCCGCATGAACCAAGGGCCTTGGCGGTCTCCGACTGCTGGACGAAAGGACGCTGGGTATAGATACAAATGGATGCACTCATATCAACACATGTTGATCGCAAATGACCAGAATGTGGTTTGCAGAAGGACCATTGTCATTGCAGGCACTACGATTCTGATTTCTTTTCTTTTGTGACCATTGATAGATCCACATACCTTGTGCAAAAGTCATTGGAAACTATTTATGTGGATCCCTAGGGTGTATATCATCCTCCCTCTCAGGATGCCCAGGTCACCACCCAGTTTTGCTTGGATCAGTGTGGGCCATGCGGGTCGTTGGAAGCGTTCTTAGTACGGCCCCCACCGATCCGCCCAAGCCCCCGACCGGGCCTCGGCCCCAGGAAGCCAGAAGGCACTCTGTGCGGCCGACATCTCGGCACCTCGGCAGAAGTCAGACGAGCAGAGGGATCATCTGCAGATCGTCTCTCAGACGTTCACCGATTGGTCCGGTATTGTCCCGAAAGGTCGTTCCCCATGTCGATTGATTGACACACCATGCACCATGTCGAGATTCCATCTTTGAGATGAAGATTTAGCCCAAAAGAAGATCACTCCTTCACTCAATCATTATATGTGATACACCAACGTGTCACACAGCTAAAGCAGCAGCATCCACACACTCACAACCACTTGCAGTCGTTCGCCACCGAAGTTCGGAGATTTCTACGACCGGATCGGTCCTCGTTCTCCGACCGGAGAGGGCCATCCCAAGAGCCCCAACCACGCGCCACGCCGAAACCGGGGTCGACCGGAAAAGCCCCGGAAAGGACATGGTGGCAGCGGTCACGAACGGCCCAGCCGCTGGTATTGCCACCACTTCCGCGTCTGGGCGGCAGCTTTTGATGAAGAAAACAGGATAAAACGCCTGACTTCCACGGGTTTTTCTAGCCATATATAGCTTTTTCAGTACACTGAATAGTGCACCACAAGATCCATAAAGGGCCAGGTATGGCCAGATTGATTGACAGCTCCTTCTTCATTCATTACCCTTGATCTCTTTGAAAAGTTCCTTAAGGCCTGCAGATTGGGGAGACATTTGGGAACCCACAACATCTTGGGAAAAGTACGTTGGCACAAAAGAGAGATGTTCTCCAGTTGGCCACCCCCTCATACTATCATGGTGTAGAAAGATCAGCGCAGCACACCGACGTGTTGGCGACCCGGTGCACGACCCGGTCTTGGGGATTGGAGTGGTGTTAGAGACACGTGGTTCTCATAGGAACATGTACACTCCCTGGAACGTCCTCATGCAACGTGGATGGCCCTTGAAAGGAAGATCATGTTAAGACCAAACAGGGTGTGCCAGCCACTTCCCTGGTAGTTGAAGGGAGAGTACACATATGTACACTGTACACATAATATGCATGTATAATGGGACCATCATAGATCCTCATCTGTAGACAGAAGACATCATTCGCAAATCCCTCTCGGTCTTATGAACAGAGCGCCACTGGGTGGAGCCGAGAAGCGTTCCAGGATTGCGCAGACCTGCCAGACCCCTTGGAGGAGGAGAAGCATCTCCCCATGGACTAAACTGGAGGAGATTCGGAGTGGAGAACTGTCGAGATGGGTGGAGGGGTTTGCAATGCTTCCTCAGTGTGATGCTGTGATGTGGACCAACAGAGGTATCCGTGACCTGAACTAGGACGCGTCACCTGGGGCACCCAACTAGGATAGTCGAACTAGGGTTCTGACCCACCTCTGCTGGGAGTGATACTTAATTGGGGTTCATTTGGGTTCCATTTTGACTCGGGCTTTCAGGCCTTGATGTCGAGCTAAGCGCTTCGGTCCGCTGAGGGGTCGCTGCCAGGAAGCAGAAGCGCCAGGCGCTTCGGTGGCCGAATTCAGAGTCGCACTACGAATGGTTGGGCCGACAAATCGTGAGACGTACAGCCTTGACTAATGGAAGCTTGGACTGCAAGTCCTGCAAGATTTTGCAAACACAAAGATTTTGCAGAAAACTATACTGTATATTATAGTATATAAATACATTTAGATGTAAGATTTTCCCACGAGTTTCCAAGATACGTTTTGCCCAACACACAAACAAGGTGCACTTAACTCACAATATTGTGTGCCCTTTGCTGCATGGTGTTTCTTGGGAATTGTGGAGCGGACCGTAACTGCCTGCAGTTTGAACCTGGCCCTTCAAAAAAGTGACTTTCAGGGATCCACCAGGGGTCCACCAGGGGTTTGGAGATCCTTCAGCTTCCCCCGCCTTCAGATGCCATGTGTTCGAACACAGGCCTCGGTCCGATGCCTGGGCATGAGCTTTGGGTTTAGTGGGATGAGCAGATCGAATCGGGAGGGGGCCGTGACACGACGGCTGCCGTGATGGAGAGTCCCAGGCTCCCCGGTGCAACCCACGGAGGAAATCACCTATCCTCCGTGGCAGGTCCAGCCCAAGGGCCGAAAAAGGGAGGTCTCAGTAAGGAGGGAAACGGTGTCACGAAGAGGGACACGCATGGGGAAACGCTTTTCAATGAGAATGCCTCGAATACATTTGTTGCCTCTGAGGATGTCGCAAAAGGGCGCTGCAGTGACACATAATCCACGCACTCCTTTCAAGGCAGCTTTCTGGGCAGACGGCGAACAAATGGGACCTGGCAGGGGAACAATGCTAAGAGGCAAAGAGCTAGCAGATGCTAGCAGCGTACTGAGATATTGTATGATTGTATGATTGTTCGTTGACTGGATCTTACCGGGGCACAACATATGTCAAGAAGTTGTTGACGCCGAAAAACAACGCCAGACGCCCCACACCTGGAAATCGTCCACTTCTTCGGGAAGCAAATGGGACCGGCACGGCTTCGGTGCACAAGTGCAGTCGCAGAGTGTCCACCTTACTGTACATACATCATAGAGTCGTTTCAGAATAGATGGCACAATCCCCAAGTTCGGTCGTTTAGATGGACACCCCATCTAAAGGGCATCTTGGGGTCTGTGCCATCTACTCTGAAAGCATCTGAAAGCACCGCACTCAGAGTTGCAGCTGGCGGACTCACGTCGCAGGTGTGGTTTGGGTGTTCAGCCGACTCGTTTCGCGCCGAAGAATTGGTTCCAACGTCTTCAATGTGTTGCCTTTTCTACAAAGCCAGCCAGAAGCGTTTACCAGGAGTCACAAAGGGTGGTGTTTAGCCCAAGTGAGTGGATCATGGACACCCCTAACCTCCATTAAACACCCCTTTGTGACTCCTGGTACAGTAAATGTCTTTCTTTCTTTTTTCTGGTTGTATATGGTTCTTCCCTTTCTTTAAAATGGTTTTCTTTGCGCGGTGTTTGAGGTTTTTTTTGGTGATCTCCTGTGGAACTCTGCGAGGCGAGTCCTGCTGCCCAGAAATGAGGAAAAAGTCCTGGGATGTGCTGGTGTGGCCACAGAAAGTGTGTCCATTGAAATGGATATGAAGAGCCAACGTCGCGCATTTGTGTTTTGGTGCATGTGCCAGAATGAAACCATGTGACGCATGGAGAAGATGGCCCGGTGTGAGAAGATGGCACCCGGATGCCCCCCTGCAAGAAACCCCTGCTGATTCACTGGCCAATGTGAACAACTGTGTTTTTTGCAAATTATGTGTACAACTCTTTGCATTTGGCTACAGTTGGACTAGTTGCTTTGGCAACAGTTGGACAACGACTCTTGCAGAGAATTTGGTCGAATCTTCGTATCCCTTTCTTTGGGCATCGAACGAGCCAGCGGAGATGGATTCCTTGGAACCCTGGCCGCTGTCTAGCTTCTTCCACATGCTGTTTAGGCGGCCAACACCGTGGATAGCAATGGAGTTGCACCACTGGACTTATTTCTTTGAGGATCCCAGGCTCGTCTGCAACACGCCTGAGATTGTCACAGTGTGACACCTTTATGTACTGATTGATAGATTCATGATATGTAATATGTAGTATATTACAATATGATATAGTATATATAGTATATATAATATATATATATATAATACAACATAATATTATAAGATAATAGAACCATAATATAATGATACAATCTAACATAATACAATTGATACAAGAGAATAAACAATATAAATACTAAAACTATATAAACAATACTATATGTATAATTTTCAAACTATATAAATACTACTATATATTAGAATTACTTGCATGCCCGGAGATTGGCCTGTCCGGTGTCGGGCCAATTGATGGGACTCTGGGTGCCCATCGAACACGCCAGACCGACACCTGGGATGCCTGGGGTGCTGCCAACTGTGAAACCACGTCGTACGCCGTATGTTGATGAAAAACCTCTACTCGGGATGATGTCACCTACTTAATAAGTAAAGCAATATGTTTCCTTCAATTTCGTTGAAACCACCAACCAGCACTTGTGGGTTGGATCAATCTTACACTCGGTGAGGTCTCAGCAGTTCACTTCTAAAACAGGAGATTCCTGCCGTGCCATGCCATGCTCCACCGAAAACCGGCGGGTTTCTTGGTTGATAAAAAGCAGGCTTGGACGAGTTGAGTCTGAGGATCTGATCAAGTAGCAAAGGCAAATGTCCATGCTTAGCCAGAAAAGGCTTTTGCCAACTTGCATCATTCAGAGCAGTCCACCAAGCAGCGAAGATCCCGTTCGCTTCTAGACCACGCTTGGAACGAGACAGAGGGTGTTTTCAGGCCTATACCATACCAACCACAACTTGGGAATGATAGCTTGTTGAAAGCAATCGGAATGTAGCTCGGCTTGAACGTTTTGCTTACATATACTCTTTGCTTCTCAAAGCAAATCATGTCCCGCTATCCTTTCATGTCTTCTTGCGAGACGTTCATTGCATGGAACACTTGCACCTTACATCGCTTTGCCACTTTCATGTTGTTTTCCAAACCTTGCTGTGGGGAGCTGCTTTGCAAATGGACCCCAGCGGGGCAGGTCCCCGGCTCAATGCACGTGGGGAGGGCTTCCTCCTGATCTTTTGAGCTCCTAAAATGGAGCGCTGCAGGACTTTAACGTTTTGGCGGCAACCACTGACGCCCACGATGACGGGGCGGAGCTCGGATTTTCTGAGAAAAAGGCGGAGGGGCGTTTGGGCTGAGGGCCCTTTTGCAAGGGACGTTCACACTGATAGGTGAACGACACTCTCCGCGCCAAAGATCGCCAAACATTCCCTATTGGTGTCGGGATGTGTCGGGTGCGTTTTGCCTGTGTAGCGGGTCCCGCTAGGCAAGATGGTTCTGGAAGCTCCTCAATGCTCCTTGCACATCCTCAAAGCATCCTCAAATTGGTCAAGTTGCGGCCCAATCCAGTCTTCATGTCCACATGACTTCGCCAACACCTGGTGGCGATGGGCACTGGAAGAACGACCTGTTCGCTGTGAAGAAACAATCCTCTCGGCTGGCCGTCCATCGCAGTGTTTTTTCGGCTCAACGACCTCAAGAAGGATCCGAACTCTTGTTGCTCAAGGTTCCCCCCCAAACTCATGGCGATGCAGGAGGATGCCATGGAGCTCTTGGTCGAAGTACCAGAGGCTGCCGAAATGCGGTCGAGATGCACTGCCCCTCCCTTCACGGCGATCGAACACCCCAACGCATCCCAACGCCAAGGGCTGGAAAACAGCACGGATGTCCTTTGAAAGATTGAAACAACAAGAATGACATCTGCAAGTCATTGAAGCGGATGGCACCACCTGTTTGTAGAGACTAGGGTTTTCCAGGGGCCTATTTGATAAATTTTTGTTCGACTGTCCACTTCCACGGTCATTTCAGGCAGTGTATTTTCTTTTCACCATTGGGTGTTTGGGCAGGTGATTATAGATTCGGAATGGTTCGGAGCTTTGCTGATTAGATTGCCGCCCGTGATTCAAATCAACACCATTGGCGGTCGCCAAATTCAAAATGGTGTGCAAGACTTACAATGTTCTCTCTATCCGTGTCAAAGGTGGAACTTCTCCCATCCTCATCGTGTTTGGGGTGTTTGGATGAACATATCCATGGAATATCCATGGATGACCGACTGGTTCCTGTAACTCCTTTGTTCTAAACACCACCAGCACCACCCGCCGTTCGGCATCGTTCGGCGCACCGCGGGGAGGTTCCGAAGAGCGCGGGGCGCGCGGCGTGGCGCTGGGCGCGGTGGGCTACCGAGCCGTCAGACCTGAGAGCCTTCCAATGGAAGAAGGGGAAGGGGGGGCGAGGGTGGCCAGGGTGGAACAGGTGTGGTGGATGAAGGATAACGAACTGATACCGCATCATAGGGTGGGAATCCGCCTTGTCGGCAGAAGAGTAAACGCCTGAGTCACTGAGGGCGGTCAGAGGGGGTTCGGGCCTGTTCTGGGCATGATACCCCTGACACGAAGCTGGGTGATACCACCAGACGGCGGGATGTCGTTGGTTTGAACAGCTGGCGACGGCCGGTGACGAAAGGAAAGCGAGCATCATGCAGACCATCACCGACTGGGAGGAGATTCCGGGCATTGATAAGGTCATCGAACAGGCCAAGAGAAGCTCGAATGGAGATGGGTCGTCGAAGCTCGAACGATGGGTAAGACGTGGTCAGTCACGTCCTGAACGTGGCAGCCGTCTCACTTACATGGTTTTTGTGTGGGGAACCCGTTTTGCAAGATTAGGAATTAGGAACATGTTATAATACAAAGAACATCGAAGAACCTGTGGTTCCTGTCTCCTTGCAAGCCATACTTCTAAATGCAAATTGCCATGATACTCTGAAGATGGTCATGAGTCAGGGATTCATTCGTTCTTGGGCAGAGCGGCAGAACCAAATGTTTAAAAGCCAATTCAAGGACTCAAAGCATCTCCAAACTGAAGAAAAGAACATAGTCTTCACTACGACCACTTCAAACAGTCCAGATGCTTTGCAGCAAGAAACCAACAGACGTCCTTTTTCAACCCGCCCCGTGACAGCTCGGATGCTACCGAGGCTTGGAGTCGAAGGTGCAGCTGCGCAGCCTGAACGACCTCTTCTACGAGTCCCAGCCGGAGGAGCTGCCATGGATCCGCACCGAGTGCGTCATCGACGTGGTGCAGGGCGCGGCCTATTTGGGCCAGGCTGGAGCGAGCGCCTGAGCGGCGCGAGCATGCGCTGAGCGGTTGGCGCGGTTGGAGCGGATGCCGCCGAGCGTGCCATGCGCGGAGCGAATCCGCTTGGTGGACTTGGACGCCCTTAAGGGGGGGGCATAAACTTACGCCTTAAACTTACGCCCAACAGCGGGCCAGCAGAGTGTCCAGCAGCATATTCATCGTCCTAGACCGGTGTCGGCGGATCTTTTTGGGGTGGGTTGGGAGCTTCTCCAGATTGGAGGATGGCTATGAGGCTAGAGTCACAGGGCAAAGCTTACTCATAGAAGATTTGTTGACCTACAGAAATTCTTGACGGACATTCCAAGTCATTGATTCATCACGATGCAGTTAGAATCCTGAACGGGCATTCAATACATTGAATGCATCTTCCTCAGTTCGAGCTCTAGTTCAGTCCTGCACGGGATTGAAGAGTTTGTTCATGATCCTACAGAACTATGAGATCAAGTTTTGCAGCTTGGTCTCAGAATGTGTCATACCCATACACTCTATCTATGCCATATATGCCTACATTGACCCCCCAAACCACCCCAATGTAGGGCATATATGGCATACATGGAGTGTCTGGGATATCTAGGAACCGATACTTGTATGAACAGGTGCACCTGATTCCCGGCTTCTGGGGTCTTTCTCGCCCCCCTTCTGGTCCTGCGTGTCGTGTCGCCGTGTGGCCCTTTTCACCGTCGTTCATCATGTCACACCGTTCCTGGCACGGCCAGGCGGTGGTCTTCCTCTACAAGGCCATCGACTATGACGGCTTGAAGTGCCCCAACAATTCGCCCGTCGGATGTGCTGCCAGCCACTTGGTGAGCGCTTGAGAGAGCGGAGGAGGCCAAAGGGATGAAGCTCCGCTTTTTGGAGGATGTGCTAATTTAAGAACAACAGTTCCAGAATGGTTTTAGGCAGGAGTCGGTCTGGTTCACCGACTCTTGAGGATTGAACCAACTCGATCAGGATCCGCACCCGAAACAAAGGGTTTTGGCTCGGGGCCCCTGCCACCCTTGTGAACGGCAGGGGTTCGACCCCTTCGTCAAAAAGGAGGGTCCGGACTCGGATCCTTACGGAAGTGAATGAGTTAATTGGAATTCCTCTTGCGTCACCACCTGACCTTACCTTTTTGGTGAATAACTATTTACCTGCAGTATTCTTTCCGACTGAACTGCCTCAAGGTGTGGCGGGCTTCATCACCTCCATCAGTTGGATCGCCTCGTACCTCTCCTTCGCGGCCAACGCCTGTGGCGCTGCGGTCAACTCGGGCGCCCTGTGCGCGGGAGACTGGACGGCCCTGATGGCGAACTTTGGGGAGATGGCGACCGTGGCTTGTTCTGTGACAGGGAAACGGTAGTTCTGAGACGTAGATGGTTGACAATGACAAGCAGAGAGAACAACATGTACATCCAAGGTGGGTGCCGCTGTGAAGGAGGACTGCGACTTCAACAAGGACTGCGACATACTGCGTTCTCAGCCTTCCTTGCCTTCCGCTCCTTGCCATCCCCAGAAGCACGCTCGTTGTACTGGGACGACCCAGGACTGGATTGCCCTGCTGCACGTGACCGACGCCAACCCCCTGCCGCCCAACTGGCAAGCCTTCGTCCCCGCCGGTGCCGCGCCCACCGTGGAGACCATCGCCAAGGTCGATGCGCTCCGCACGGTCCGGAAGCCCCAGAGGCATACGGACCCCGTCGCGTGGCGAAGAAACAACGGTCCGAACGTGGTGGGCAATCCGAAGGCCGGCCCGCATCTGCCCTCGGTGTTGTCCAAAAATGTGCTTCTTGCATGTTTGGACACAACCGTACTAGATGCTTTATGATGCTTTTATTGGACCATGCTCATCCTTCCTCGACATATTTCGAGAGATCCTCTACAGGTCCACGAGAGAGTTCGTTCGTCATCCTACCTCCCCCTTCGACTTGGCCCCCTCGCCTCGTCCGGCTTCTCCGGCTCAGCCCGCGGGGTCTTCCCCCGTGACACCGCGTCGCCCACCGTGGGTCGAACTGCCCAGTCCAAGCGCAACCGCAACTTCGACCTCACCCAGTGCGTCATGGCCGACGTGACCAACGCGGTCCGAGGGACCCAGCGACGAGAACGAAGACGGAAACCAGACGACGGAGACCGGAAAGGTCTGTGTTTTCCGGCTCGCATCGCCTTGGGATCCAAGCCTGTGAGAAAGATCTGTTGTTTGACATGAAAGGATTCAACTTATGACTGTCGATTGATGTAAGAATATAGCAGTCCATATTAAATATACATAACATACTTTTACATTCTTTCTGCATGTTATATGATTCCATGTGATGGACAATTGTTTGGTTTTCCAAGTGAAGTCTTTTCTTTCCCAGCCCATGACTACGGCGCAGAAACATGTATGAGCACCATGAGGCCGCCTACATTGTCCGTGTGATCCTGCAGATCCGCTCGGCGGCCAGCGCTTGCCCAGAGCCGAGGCTCACAATCAATGTATCACTTCAAACAATTTCCATGGAATTTGTAGTAGGTGTGGGTTAACTAACACCTGGACCTGGATGGTTGATCGTTCATTCTGTTCATGGCCATTGTCATGCAACAAGTCCGCAAATCGTTTCATGCTCGCCATTTGTTTAATGAACCTAAAATCATGAAGTGATCAAGTTGTGTCATGTTCTCTCCATCCTGAGTCTTGGATATGTTTGGTTTGTAAGTCTTTAGAATTTGCTCCACAAAACTAGGAAAGGTGGATTGCACAGATGTGGGCTTCCCCAAGACTCTTCGAGTTGACAGACAAGTCAAGACTCTCCATTCCTCTTCGGTATGAATTTGATCATGATGTTTCAGTCATTGAGTCATCTATGGCACATGGACCTTTGTTGCTAATCTCCAGATTCAAAGCTTAATGGTCGATGGCCTTTCTTTTTCTGCTGGTCAGCTGGTGGTCGAGTTCCAACCATCTCACTGTTATAAAGCTGCACATGCAACAAAAAGATTCCTATATAATATAGGAATCTTTTTGTTGCATGTGCAGCTTTATACGATTTTACAAGCTAAAGTTAGCGGAAATCGAAAGGGAAACAACACCCACATATACTCTCCATTTCTCCTACTGTAATTATAGTCTCCTATACGATTTCACCCAAATCAGGTTGGCGAGAAATCGTCATGATGGTGACTCATAATCGTCACTTCCAGCAGATCCTTGAATGGTGGTCGTACCACCTGCCACTGCCATTGCTGCCACTGAAAGGCCTGGGGCTCCGATCCACTGCTTCCACATCTATCACAATGTTGATTCGAATGCTTAAGAACTAAAACGTGGTGCCAAGAAGAGTGCTGATGCTTCTCTTTGCTTCTCTTTGCTTCGCCATCTAACAGGGCCTGCGCCATCAACATCTTGAACATTATCAGCTCCTTTGCTTGGATCTCCCAGTTCACGCCACTTGGATGGAAGCTGATGCACACAGACTTTGCAGAGCTATATTGATCCAGACGGTTCCCCTCTTTTTGGGTTGACAGTTATTGACAGTTCTCGCTCTCTTGGGAGCACAAAAGGAACGCTCCGCAGCCCGCCTGCCGGTGATTTTCATCGGGCGCGGAGTCGGCCCCGGAGTCCGCCCCGAGGGCTTTGGCCGTGTCGGATTGCTGGACGAAGGGCAGTCAGAAGGCCCTGTGCGCTGCCGACATCTCTGCTGCTTGGCGGCGATGGAGGCGGCGATGGAGGTGCGAAACCGTGGATTTGAAGCTTCCAAGGTGTAATTTGGGCAATGTTTTAGGACACAAACATCGAACAACCAAGCAAGTAGCCATGAATTCAGAGATTTCCGGGCTGCATTTGTTGCATCTATATATGCTGGGCTGATGATGTGCTGCGTAGCATTATCAGGAGGTTGGCTGAAAGGCAGGTGTAACCATGATTCCGTCAACTGTTCAAACCGTTATACCGTTCACCGATTTTGTAACCATGATTTTGTTATACCGTTATACCTTGTCCAGATCGGGAATTGGTTCGTGGCAAGGTCAAAACCATTTGTTCGAACCAAAGCTGCTCTTCAGTCGAAGAAGAAGAAGCTGTGACACCTCCCCGTCACAGGCTTGTCCAATCCAACGTGGTGTTTTCTGCACACAAAAGAAACAACACCCGCACGACCAGACTGCCGTATGTATACTGCCATGCTGTTCTTTCAACTCTCTGAATTCTAATATGCCACAAAGCATCCGCTTGAGACATGAACAAATATGAAAAAGCAGCATGAACCATGCCCAGACGCTCCATGTATGCCACATATCCCTACATTGGGGTGGTTTGGCCGGTCAATGTAGGCATATGTGGCATACATGAAGTGTATGGGATGATGAAAACAAAGGCTTATTGGTTGAAACGCATCCCGTGTTGCCATGTTTCACGGCTGCCGTGACCAAAGGACATGGTGGCAGCCGTGACCAACGGTCCCGCGGCTGGCATTGCTACCACCTCGGCCGCTTGGCGGCAGCCGTGGTCGCTGAACGGATGGTGTTCTTGGATGGTGTCCCGATACAAAGGCAAGGTACCAGGACCATCCTGTCTGGGTGTCCGATGGACTACCCCACACGACCTACAGTGTCTACAGGTTTGCATTGGACACCCCGACAGGATGGTCCTGGTAGGTGAGCAGGGGTCAGACTGCCCTGATGACAAGGGTACATTGAACGGTACCTGGGACCTAGGCAACAGGCGACAACATGTTTCTCATTGATAGAGCCAGCAAAAAGTCAGTGAGTAGTTGGTTGTTTTATGTGTTAAGGTGTTACAAGTTGTACTGTACAAGTAGAAACGCTATATATGTATATATTGGCAATCTTTTCTTGATCAACAACCTAAGGGGCCATCAAAGGAAATGAGACGTCAAAGGTGACACAACGTGGCCAGCGCAACTTCTCTTACAGCGTGCAGCAGCTCCGGATTTTGCAACACCATGTAAAGCCTATTCGACTGGTTATGATTTGCACGTGGCAGATGCTTTTGCAGAAGCACAAGTCATGTCGAGGAAAACGATCATCTTTGTTGCACAAAGGAAGATGATGGAAAAGGAAGAGACATGCGCACTAGTACTATAGTACTACGCAATCACCAAGCCTTTTCCCTGTTCTCCCCCCCCACGTGCTCACCAAGCCTGGACCTCGAGTCCATCCCCTTTGTTCGGGGCATCGACCTGTCGGGAAGCCATCACGCAACGTCCTGAGGATTGCGCTGACCTCCCAGATCCGCTGGAGGAGGAGAAGCACCTGCCCATGGACTAAAGCACTGCCCACTCGCCGGCAGGCCCGGTGTTTGACCGCTCCGGTGGCTTTGCTTTGTTTGATCATAGGCTGGGTCACAGCTAAGAGGGTACAGCCCGGTGATGAGGTCACAGCCCGGTTGAACAGAACATCTAACATATACATCAAAGATCAAAGGATTTGTCGGTTAGTTGTTTGATGATGTTTGATGTGTGAGTTTGCCGAGTGCACGTCTGAGATGAGCAAGAAAGACCCTGAACCTTTGGTGAGATTCCCTTGAGTGGGGTTGAAGATCAAGAATGAGCACCCTTTTGAACTCCATGTCCATGCTAGACTTTTTCACTGTAAGTCTCCAACCGCACCCATTGGGTATCTCATGGTATCTTGAAGAATCGAGCGGATCTCATGCACAAGACATCACAAAACCTCCTTGAGACGTCTCCTTCATCGTTCTGAGACGCCGAAGCACGGCAGTCGCCTCTCGCGTCGTCAAAGCACGGCGCAGCACGCCGAAGAAGACGGTTCACGTGGCGCCCACCCGAAGGGTTCACCAAATCGGAGGAAGGGGTCGCTCGGGGTGCAACGTCACTACGTCACATCCGACCCGACATGTCACTGGATGAACATCTTACCAGACTCCATGGGACTGCCATAGGACTGCCGATATACATTGACCCCTCTGGCACCATCCCTGGCCTAGAGTGTCAGAGATCCAGATCTCAGAGAGTCATTTTGTTTTGGTACACGTGGGCCTTTTGGAACATCGGGTTTTTGCGGCACGTGTCTTCCTGCAGGCGGAGACTCAGTGCAACGTCCACTGAGTTGGAGACAAAAAGCAGATGGCTTTGGTCGGCACATCGGCATCTCGCTGGTACACTCCACAAGAAGTCCACGTGATGTGGTGCGTGGAGTGCACGACGTCGTGCACTCAGTATCTGAAGAAGTTTATTGCATGAAGTCTATGTCTGAAAGACCTGTTTTGCTCTTTCCGTGTGGCTGGTGCACGAAAGATGTGAGTTGGTGTGCGGTTTCCCAGAGTGGACTGCGGTGCGATTTTATCCAATGTGATTTTTGCGGAGAGTGCTTTTGCGACGTTGTTTGGTTTGCTGTGTTGTGATGGAGATCTGGATTGCTTTCCGAAACTACGGCCGATCAGCTGTACATCCATTTCGACAAGATTGGATCAAACAACCATTCTGAAGCACTTTCTGTTGGTACTGATACTGTAGCCTGAATTGATATTCCCACAATGATAATTGACAATTCCACTGCGGATGACGGTCAATGAACTTTCACCTGGGACGAAGAAACCAGGGAAAACAATCTCAATAAGATTCTCGAATTATACATGGCTTTTTGTACGCTACTTGTGAATCACACTAAAGGATACAAAAGGCAATCAGAATCACCTCAGGTGTAGTAGTAACCATAGACTCCATGGGACTGCCATATATGCCGATCAGGCCAGGGGTGGTGCCAGAGGGGTCAATGTATATCGGCATCTATGGCAGTCCCATGGAGTCTATGGGCTACTCCCAAGTGCTACGCACTCGTCTCGATTTGTTCACTCCGTTGTGGCGACGAGTTTTGGGATCGGTCGAGACGGTCGAGACGGGAGGTTTTGCGACGGGAACCCACGCGCGACGGTCGAACGTGTTTGAGAGTGGAGCCGAAGTCGTTTGGTAAACACCGCTAAACACCGTTTCTCTGTCTTCGTGCATATATTGTTTATGTTGTTTCAACCATTCCCTGCTATTGCAGAAGTGGCTACCCCCTGGGACTAGGAAAAAGCCTTTGCAGCCCTCAATGTTGCAGAAGTGGGGCTATGGATTGTTTTTTTTAATGTTGCAAACCGAGGGCCATGTAGGTGTCTGTGATGTAGTTTGTGTTGTTGTTTATGTGGATCTCTGAGGGATTATAAACACACATGTGAGGTGAGGATTATTTTTGTTGGTAGTGAATGGTTGGGAAACTCAATCTTCCCACTTGCTACTTCCAAAACACACACATCTAACTTAACTTCATTCCAACTCCAGCATTCTATGCTGTGCGTTTGTTTGTGAAGTAACCATTTGCAAGTTCTTTTCTGCAGCGTGAACCGCTTTGTCAATGTTTGAAGTGAGAATAGACCTCACAAGTCATAGATTTGCAGCAGCAAAGTCCGTCGCTGCCATTCTCATCACTCTCAGAATCCGTTTTCTTGATCTTTTTGGACGCTGATTGCACCGGCTGCCCCTCCATGGTAGCCTGGCCATGCATGGCCTTGGGCTTGCGAGCCTTATTTGCTTTGTCTTTTGCTTTTTCTCAGGCGACTTCTCTGCCTTCCTTTCCATTGTCTGAGGTGTCTTTTTTCTTGCCACTCGTTGTCTGCTACAATTTATTGTTAGTCCTGGTTTTTATCCGTACATACAAAATTAGGGAGCAGCTGCGTGGATGATATTGGGCCAAGAGTAAGAATAAGTGCTTTTGCTGCTGTAACGGCCGCCGTGGCTGCTCCTGTTGCTTACTGTTTGCGTTGCTGTGCGGGGGCCGCTCCTGCTCTACCGAACTTTCAAGTACCTGCAACCTTGGTACCTGTGCATGGGAGCAATATAGGTTCAAGGAATTGGAGACATGGATTTTTCCTATAAAATTATGGGAGAATTATGCACATGGGCATCTGCTCAAACTTAAAATATCCTAACAACTATGGTAGTTAAGACCATATCATTCCTTTCCTACTCCTGTACTACTGATTTACATTCCCGATTCCCTATATTATTCCTATAAGGATATTTATTTTATTACTTCCATACCATTCTCATACCACTCTTATAGAATAATAATATATATTTGTTTTTTTTGAATTTCCTATATTGGAGGAATAAATTTAATAAATATTTTGAATTTTTTATTGCAATTTTCTTTTGATGAAAATTTGGTTTCGTGCGAATTTACATAAAGTGATTTTTGCTATGCATAATTTATTTGGTGATATTGCGAAATATGGATTATTATATATTTATTTACATTGAATTAATAGATTAAACGAAAAGGTTAATACGAAAGGTATTTTTAATATTTTATATATATATATATTTATATTTGGAATATATTCGGAATTTATCTCCGTTGAAATTTCGTCTATAGATAGGGATAGCTCGAGGCCCTTACAAAGGGGTTATTTTATATTAAAATACTTTTTAGCAGATGCCGAAACTTGCACCCTCCCATTTTGTAGAGTTAAAATCGGCATCTAAATTATGATCAAAAAAATTAAAGAATATTTATATGAAACATGGGGACGTCAGGGTACCCTTTTTGTATAGGGCCAAAATTAAGGAAAAATAGGGGGTTAGGGTACCCTTTTTGTACACGTTTGAGTGTTCGTTTCTTGGAATTAAATTCTTTAGTCGCCTGAGTCAGATATAAATACATACTCCGAGGTGAAAATTGATGGTTTGTATTTTTTTGTTGCTTCGTCTTCGAATTCCAGGGGGCAACCCATTGTTGCGCCATCTACAAGTCCAAAAACCCTGAAAAACTACAACATTTTTGTTGCCAAAAATCTTGCCCTTTTTTCTGCGCATGGAGGCCTTATGTCAGAACCACAGATGGCGCAATGCCAATCAATGCATACAGTAGGTTTTAATTCTGCAAATCTCACTGTCCAGATTCCTGAGCAGTCCTTGTGTTTGTTTGCCGCGTTCATTTTTTAGGATGGGAAAAAGAGCTTTGGGATGCGCCATCTATAGAATCTACAAAAAACGCTTGGTTTGGTCAAGGTGCAGCCTTAGTTTTCGTGATGTTTAATGTTCAATATGGGGTGTTGAGCCATCTATGGCTATGCCGGTTACCCCCTGAGTTGCGCCAACAACTTTTTCAGCGGCGTACCCGGTGTACATAAAACAAATCCACTCTGCATCCAATGGACTCGTCCCAGTACACGTGGTGCCAACTCTTCCTTCCGCTGACCAAAGAGCATTGAGAAACTCAGCCACGATTCATAAAATGAGGATGGACCAAAGATTTGTTTACACAATGACTGTCACCAATATTTGTCTTTACAAAGTAGGCATGAATAGAGAATCATATTGGCATGTCCCACAAAGTCGGCATGAACAAAGAATCATATTGGCATTTGAATGCATTTCACACTATTTCACAGGACAGCAAAGGTCAAATTTAGAATGGATAATATGAATTAGTCTCCAAATACCTGAGGTTCACATTTTGTAGAGATAGTTCAGGGTCATCCCCATTTTATATTGTAAGCAAGATTTTTAGATGTAAGCATTGTTTAATATACTTTCCGTTAGCACCGCAAGTTCATTAAACAAAAACAAAAAATCATATAGTTTCTGACATCGTCTATTAGAGTCCGATGTTCAACATATGCCATTGCACAGTACAATCGCCGCTTAAGTTTGGATTAAAAAAAGAACAGTCAGATGCGTGCGCACACAATTTCTCTACAGAATGGTTCCGGAATGGTCAACAAATGGAGTCTTAAATCATGTCCTCGACCAGGTATTTGATACCATTTTGTAGAGAACTCACTTTGCTAAATGGCTGTTTTATGCACTTTTCAGCACAAGATAGTGATCTTCAGGCATAACCTTTTTGTATAAGCCCACTCTGGCCCATGTCATTTTGTACAAACCCAATGCCCTTGGGTTAGGGCTTTTTGTAGACTGCAACCCTGGAGCCCTTACAAAATTGCGGTTGTCAATCCCTCCCCCTTTATTTCAAAGGGGATCGGAATTCTTATATATTTATTTTATTTCGATGAATTAGGATATTAAATATAATATATATTATCGATAAATTTATTAATTTAATCGATTAATTTATTTGAAATATAGATTTATTTTATTATATTTTTTACGATTAAGAACTAATTGAATTTATTTGTTTTTAAAATTAATTGGATGTATAATATATTAGGGAATCTAAATGTGCATTTTTTTTATGCAAATACGTTCGCACAAAAAATCTGTGTATCCGATTTTTTTTGTTAAATGGATAAATTTTCTGGAATT